TAGAAAATTGATCATACATTATAACTGCAAGCTGCTTGATACATGGGAAATCAGCATATTGCCTTGATGACTTCATACATGATGATGCTTGAAATGAATTAGAAAAGATAGAACAATAAATACATCTCACATCCATGTCAATTGGTGACATTTAGCATCTAATGGCAGAAATTGGAAGTCTAATCTAGAAGCCACCAAAAAGAAGCAATCTGTAGTTTTGGAAGGAATGACATCCAAAACAACTTTTCTGCAGCTCGTTGAAACCTCTACTTAGTGCCATTGAATGAGAATGTTGAGACTTGTTCATTATAATTTGCTTGAGCACTCCAAATACTCATCACACATCATCATTGCAAGCTGATTGCATAAGAATTACTTGTAAGTTCCAAAGCAACCCCATTTCTACTTAGATTATCTCACATCTACTAATGACGCTTTCATCTAACAAAAGTGCACAAAAAAGACAATAAATCTGGTGTTTAAAACATCTGCAAATAGCTGCCATCTCAGACAAAAAGACATAAAAAAACCAGCTATATTGAATTTCAGACTCATAATATAGTAATATTACATAATTAAGCTTCTCAGGGGATACCACATGTAAGCAGGTAAACTACCATTGTCAATCTACACAATCAAAAACTATGGTTATTTTATTCCACAAGGAAGCCTAAAGGTCTAGTCTATTGAAGGAATGTTTTCTAATTGAACTGAACTGATGGCTTTGAACGTAGACATATCCAAGTAATCTTCTTTGCTTTGCCATCTTCATTTAGTCTCGTCACAGCCTACAAGAGGAAAATGGAAGAATACACTTCCATATCAAATTACAAAATTAGGTAAAACGACATTTTGACTAACCTTTAACAGACGATAAAAGGAGCAAAATTATGGATTGAGTAGCATTCTATAGTACGAAAAATAGTCAATTCAATCAACTAGCCTATGACAAGGATTTCTTCTCTCTCTGAATGAAACTCATATCTTAAAATTTGAATAGTCTGATGTTTTCCCAGTTTCTGCATGATGAGTTTTTATGCGTTAGATAACTTCTAGACAGCATCCTGGAACACGCTAACTTACCACAGGCAGAAATGGAGGGAAAGGACATTGAAGGAGGTTCCTAGAAGATGTTGCTAGATACCTATATCAAGGAGAAAAAGCTGATGGTTAGGGAACCTATTCAAGCAGAGATTGAAATGACTAAAAATATAAAATTCATCTTTCTTATTAGGTGGAAGTACTTTATAGGAAACGATGATTTGCTAAACAGAAGATCCTACTAAACAATATGGAATCATAATCCAGATAACAAGGCACCCTCCAGTGCTAATTGGTCTTGGTTTTGCAAAAACAACAGCATAAACTAGTCCAATACACTTTAGGAGTAGAATGGAGAGTAATGAAGAACGAGTCCATCAACAGAATTAACCAAATTTTAATATATCAAAATCCTTTTCTGGGCGAGCAAGCTTTCACACTAGTCAAAAGAATCTCAAGTTCAATTTTGTGCTTTCGAGATATTGAAGATTCCTTTCAGCATCAAAACAACGTGCAAGGTCTTTGAAGTTACAGAAAGTGATACCCACTAAAATGCTTTTAAAGATCCTTATTCCAAGATTCCCTGAGTTCATCACGAATGTGCTAGAGTGAGTATTTGATTAGTTTCCAATGCAACTTGTAAGCCTATTTCCACTGAAGAAAACATAAGAAATATCAACCCAAAATTTTCAAAAGCAATTGCACTCGTCTCACTTTCTTCCATCCTTCCCCTTGACAAGGAGGGAAAAAAATGGAAATCCAGATCTATTTTTAAAAAATAAAAGATAAAGAATCCTAAAATCCCTTCAAGATTGTCCTTGCATTAAAAATTCAGTTACACCACATATCTTCCAAATCTACAAATTTACTCATAACATGTACCTTGTGTATTGCTTATTATCCGCAAGAGCTTATAGGTCAACCTTTAAACAAATAGATAAATACTGAAAGTTAAATTAATCGTCAACAGCAATACCATGGTAGTCATACAGAACACAGCACAACTAGAAAACTTACTCACTAGAACTCCAAATAAACAAAACCGTGGCTAATACATATGTACAAAAAAAAATTTTGTACATGAACTTCTTAAACACAAACCTAGTATGCTTACCAACAAAAAAATCGATGCATTCGCCAGAATAATGACAAAACACATAAAAATAAGAAAATTATTCGACGAAAGTAAAACTCAAGAATTGTAATATACATATAGTTTCTACCTTCGGGAATCCAACCGTAACCACAGCGAGAGACAGTCAGGAGGGAGGTCATCAAAGCCGAGGCGGTGGCGGTGTGGTACGGCTGAATCGACTCTATGCAAGCGCTCATTTCCACCGGAGACCTTTAAAAAATTTAATTAATTAAGTAAGTGATTAATTAACAAAACATTGATAGACATATGCAGATTAAGATTGCAATTTCCGACTGAAATCGGTATACATCTGAAGGTATAATACCTGGAAATGCGATTAGAGAGGATGTTGGCTCGTGAAGGAAAGGTGAAGGAGGAACGAGAGGGCTTGGCTTGGGAAGCAAGTCGGGCGGCGGCAGTGCGGACAGGGGATGCTCGGAAAATGGATCTGGCTGCGACACAAGTGGCGGAAATGGCCATTTTCTTTGTTTTTGCAAGTTTTTAGTGAGCAAGAGGAGTGACGAAGAATGGGGAGGAAGGGAGAGGGTTTAAGACTGTTTAGACTTTAGAGATGGCTTAAAACCCTATGGTGTCTTTGGCTGTGGCGAGAATTATCGACCAATGCTAGATATTCTCCAATATTTGAGTTGAGATAATATATGGTAAGGAAAATGGTGTTTACATTCCATTTTTTATTATTTACACTCTTACTGTTTGTTTTGTTACACAGTTTAATAAATAATAATTATCTAATTAAAATGACAATAAGAATATAATTAATAAAAATGAGAGTACAAATAAGTTTTTCGTATAACAAAGGTAAACTATAACATAATTAGGAGTGTGCAAAATCGAAAAATTCTAATTTATTGACCGAATTCAAATGGAATTCAAAATTTTTGAAATTGAAAATTCGGAATGGAAATCAATTTTTTCCGATTTTGAATTATGCAAAATCGATTCAAATTCGGTAATGAAGTTTTTGAAATCAGAAATCAAAACCGGTATTCAATTTCAAATTCGTTTTATAATATTTATATATATAATCTAATTTTTTAAATAATATATGTAATATAAAATTTATATTATATAACATGATAACAATACATCTGACAAAACATAACTCCAAAAAGGACAAAAAGAGCAAAACCTAATTCTGTCTGAATTTGGTGAGAAGTTGTTTTACCAAAAATAGTAAATTATGAGAAGTTGTTTTAAAAAAAGGAAAAAAAAAGAAAAAAAGGTTTCGAAATTCGGTGAAATTGGAATTTACCGAATTCCAAATTGGATTCGAAATCAGAACCGGTGAATTTGAAATTGAATTCGATCGGTAAATCTAAAGCCAAAATTTTGAAAAATTCCAAATTCAAACTTCCAATTTACCGATTTCAAATTCGTTGCACACCCCTAAACATAATAACAACAACAACAAATAGTCAAAAATTGATAATACTGATAATGATAATCAGCGTGGTTGAATATAATCTAGATTAAAGTATGCTCTAACACCTCAAAAACTCTTTTAAATTTTTCTTTGGTTGAAAAAACTCATTTAAGGATATTTTTCAAGTAAAATAGATTGAAATATTATGATTCTCTATATCCAACTAGTTAAAAACTCATTTTTTGTTTAGCTTAACAAATATTTAAGTCAAGTTTCACAGGGGAGGGGGGAAGGAATATAATTGTGTAAATGAAAAATTTTAATTTTAAATCCTCTCACTTACACTGAAAAAAAAAAGGTTAGGTTTCTCAAGCAAAATTGATTAAAACTTCAAAACAGGTTGGTATTCATGGAAAGTGAAAAAAAAAAAAGAAAGAAAGAAAAGAGAAGGGAGGATTGGGGAAGAGAGCGGGTTTGGGGAAATTTTTGTACGCAACTCATTAGAAACTCGCATCCTTTTCATTCCGCTGGAATAATAATCAGGTCAAATTGAACCATCACGATTAAAAGCTCATTGGCTCCTATAAGGCGAAGCTGTGATGATTGGAATTTTTCTACTTGTATGTTTTGACCTAACTGAAAATCTCAAAATATGATGAATATTTCACCAATTGGCGTGATATAATCTATGTTATTGGATTTTGAAGACCAGATCTACCCAAGTTTTGACCTATTTCATTTGCTACAGATAGAACTCAAATTACATTAGCAGCTCTATTTTGTTTTGATTGTCGCATTTTGAATATTGAATTACAATCTGTTTTGAGCAAATTGTTACAATCTTCGATTGAGAAGTACAATGTAAGACCAACAAATTCAACATTTAATTAGATATCGGAAAAAGTAAAAATTGAGCCGGTAGGAAGAACTACAACAACTAAAGAAGTTTGCAAGTCATATGCCACATTGCAACTGATAATTTTTGAGTTCAAAAACAGCCAATCATTCCTCTTAAATATGTAGCAACTTCGTGAACTGATGAATTCTAGCTAAGGATATGCACAAGCACAGATCCAAGATGCTGCTTGGAAGAGAGATCACTCAACATCTTGAAAAATAGTGTTACAAAGTCAACAGGAATTCGAGGAAATTCATGCGACAGCTGGCCAAATGATCCCTCCAAGTCTTGTTTCATCAAAGCACCAAAACAGCCTACTTATCTGTAATAATCAACAATAAGTAAGACAAAAATCCCTGTTCCTGAAAGCATGTCTAATGGGATGTTTTCGGTGTACCAGATGAGGTATACGGTGCTAGGAGTTAACAGGGGAGCATGCAGCTTGAAGATTTTCCCTAGACACAGAGCACCACTGCCATTGCAAAATAGTCAAGGCAGCAAGAAACCCCACCTCACCACAAGATGAAAACAGATGCGGAATTCGACTACCATGGGGGGAAAATCACTAGGGAAGAATCAAGATTTCACCACATAGATTGTCATTTAATACCAAAACCAACCAAACTATATAAGAGACACTATTTATCATCATGAAACTTCTAATTGTCAATCCAAATGTCAATATATCCTCTGCCAGTCACATATGTAACAGCCACCTTGACCCTTGACCAATTTAAGGCATAACTCGTTAATAATCTATCGTAAAGCTAGCGTATGTTTAATACATGCTCATGTGCAAGAAACATATAATTACTCCTTTCACCAATGCTGCATTCTAAATAAATAAAGGCCAGTAGAAGCAGAGGAAAAAAACACTAGATAACATATAACTGGCATCTCTCATTAGGTGATTTGCCATCACCCATCCAGATGCCAGAGATTGTGATGAAGAAGCTTTTCTTGATTGCCTTGGAGGATTGAAGAACACTGATCATACATCATCGTTGCAAGCTGGTTGATACGTGAAAATCAGTATATTGTCTTGATGAACTTGTTACAAAGATGACTAAAGGAAAAAGCACTTATTTAAAAGCTGTTAAAGGAAAAAGTAATCGATATTAGCTGTCAAAACAATTTGTATTAGTGCCAATAGGAAGTGCTCATCTAGAAAGTCAGGAAATTGGACATATATCTCAAGTCACCATAGAAGAGTAGGAACTAGTAAGGTAATTGGAAGAAATAGGCATCAAGGGTGTCTCTTCAGCAGCTCAGCCCAACCTCTTTAACTTAATGCCATTGAAGGAGGATGCTGAAATTTGTTCATTACAATTTGCTCGACCTCTCCATTTATTTATCACATATCATCAGTGCAAGCTGATTGAATGAAAATTATTGTAAGTTCCAGGGCTAATTGATTTTCACTTTGATTATCTCACATCAATCACTATTACATCCATATAATAAAACTCTGAAAGCAACCTCCACAAGACATAAAAGAGAGAGACAAATAAATCATGGTATTGTGCAACACCCGCAAAATTTACGAGCTTGACAGAAGGGGGTCAGCAGATCAGATATACATGAGTTTCACACTCAAGATCAAGCAATGCTATGATAAAATAGATAATTATTTTTTCCAATAAATCTCAAACTATCAATTTATACCCGTCAAAAGTATTGATGTTATTTCAATCCCTGAAAGGAAACCTAAAGGACTAGCATATTTAAGCAACTTGTTTTGTTGAAAACAAAATGATGGCTTTTGAAATGTAAACCAAAATCCAAGTCATCCTCTTTGCTTCTCCATCTTCATCTAGTCTTGTCATAGCCTACAACAGGAAAAATGAAGGATGCACTTCTTTGTCAACTTACTAAAATTAGGTAAAGCTGATAACCGACTAACCTAGCATGCAACAAAAAGGAGCAGAAAACTGCAATTGGGAGCAAACCTAAACAATGAAATTGTTTAAGGGCATACTGGACAAGGAAGAGCTTGCAAGGCATTGGATCAATTATTGGCATCCATTTTTCTCTCTCACACACACAGGGATGGAGGAGGTGAAGTTGGACCGTTGATTGGTTAAACGATGTCTAGTAGATAGGATATTCTAAACAAGTGTGATCAACCAAGAACCCCAGAATTTAAGTTGCATGTGACTTCAAAAACCTTAGGTTCCCAAATCTTCAGGTGCATATATAACAAGGTCTAAATTATGCATTGGATATATTAAAGAAGAAAAAAGGGATCCAGCACCAAGCGAACTTACCAGAAATCAAAATCAAGGAAAAAGACATAAAGGAGGATCCTAGAAGATGTTGCTAGAAACCTAAATCAAGAAAGACAACCCGTTTGTTAGGAAATTTATGCAGAGATGATGAACTGAAGGAAAATGTAAATTTTAAATAGAAGGGAAACCAATCTTTAGGTGCACATCAGTGATGGGAAAAGAAGAATAGGTAAGCAGAAGAAAGCAATGACTAAGATGGAAAAAGAAATGGTATCGGTATGCGAAAGCAACACGAAAACAGCTCTTAGAACCAGATTTAGGTATAGAATAGAGTATTACGATGATACGCAGTTCATAGAAGGACACTGAACAAAATATTCCAAATGCTTTTCAGGTCTATCCTAATAAAGCATCTCTATAGTTATTCATGACACCATTGTCCAAATTCCACTCAAAGGGTTAAACATATGGTATAAAGATATTAGAGAGAACCCTCTCACGACAAACCAACATCCAACATTGTAAGTTTTAGCACTTACAGAAAGGAGAATATTCTTAAGAGGCTTGTACCGTCAAAGGTAGAAGCCTAATGTGAAACAGATTAAAAATTCATACAAACAAAAACTAACTGATTAAACAGAAAAGTCATTGGCAAGGGAGTATCTATCATCCTTGCAGATATCATTCTTCTACCCACAAGCCAAAAGAAAAACAGTGGATCAGAACACAAAGGTGAGTCCTGAATTCAGATTACACGCAGCCACTCACACCAAACACAAGTTTTTCCCGCATATCTGTCAGATGCTATCAAAATCACTTAACTTACAATCACATACACCCTCTTGTACCAAAAATTATTCCATATTTTCACTCAAAAGCAGAAATTCACCTTGGTGTGAAGAACATATAATGATACATATCACAATTCAGCAATTATTTCACCAGAATATACGAAGCAAAAATCGAAACTTGTTCTAAGATTGAAGTAATGCAAAAATCACATAAAATTAGCACAAGCAGGAAATGTAACAAAATGCATAAATATAGACCTTCAGGAAGCCAAGCGTAGCTGCAACGAGAGACGGTGAGCAGCGAAGTCATCAAAGCCGATGCGGTGGCGGTGTGGTATGGCTGAATCGACTCTACACAAGCACTCATTTCCACCGGTGACCTTCAATTTATTCAATTAAATCAATTAACTACGAACAAAACACACAAAAGCAAATTTTAAAATAAAAATAAAAGAAGCTTTTCCAACTGAAGAGTGCGCATGTACTAAAAAGCAGTACCTGAAAACTCGATGAGACAGAGGGGTTCGTGAAGGCGAAGAGAAGGGGGAACGAGATGGCTTGGCTTTGGAGGTGACACGAGCGGCGGCATTGCGGACTGAAGATGATCGGAAAATGGATCTGGCCGCTGCAGATGCGGCAGAGATTGCCATTTGTTCTTGGTCGGTTGAGAGTAAAATTTCAGAGGGGTTTATCCTGCCGAGAGGGTTTCAGTGAATAATAGTTAAAGCCCGATAGGGTTTATCCTAGTCGTTAATGAGGTTTAGCAACATACTACAAGGTCAACATCTTTATTCTTATGTTTGCCAAACACTCCACAATGGTGAATTTTATGGAATATTTTCTCCGTCTCATTATTAATCTCGTGTTTTTCACATATCTTATAATAAGAGTCATTTCAAGTTTAATACATGTCTTTCAATCTCGTCATTTAAAAAAATAATTTTTGAAATTTCAGTGCATATTTAATAAGAAAATATTTTTAATTCGAAAGATATATATATATATATATGTATGTATGTATGTATGTATATGTAAATTCACTAATGTCACCTGATTAAAAAAATTTGATTTCTAAATCAAAACTCTAATGTTGAGGCAGGGAAAATATGAGTTTATACTATTAATTCTAAATAAACAATTCGATTATGTACAATAAATATCAACTTCTTGATTTAGATTTCAATCTTTTAGAGGTTAAATTGTATTACTTTCTTTTGAGCAATTTTAAAATGTATTAATCTTAAAGTTAAAATGTTATTCTTTACTATATTATGCAAATTGAGAAGGCAAGACTCAAATAATAGTCAAAATGAAAAGGGTAAATACCCAATGGTTTGTTTAGATAGCGGCTTACTTGCAAAATTTTATTTACTTACATCATCGACATATTTTTTAACCACTTTTTTTCATATACATCATATTAAAAAGGTGCTCCAATATTTTTTTTTTTTAAAAAAAAATCATCTCAAATAATTTACCATCCAACAGTATTTGCCATCCAAACACACTCGGAGATGGATAATCTGAAGGCTAGAGATAACTAATAGTTTAACTGATGTGAAGACTGCCACACAGCCTTGTTCTTGCTTGGTTTAGATTTTACAAAACCTGATCATGAAAACTGATTATAATCAATCAGAATCAACAAAAGCTACTATTTGGATAATTATGAATTTTAACATTTTTTTATCATTAAAAAATCTATAATTAAAATACAAATCGAGAACATTACAAAAACTATCTATAATCAATTAAAATAATGAACTAAGTCCTAGGTCTCACAGCTTTTTTCCATTAAAATTATATTCAACTAATCCTTGTACCATGCACAAAATGCATGACATAATCAATTAGACAATTACCAATGGATAAGCTACAACCGATATTCTCTAAATTTGTTCTAATTCAAACAATAAAAAAAATGCTTCCACAATTGTTAATACGAAAGGGCAATTAGACTAATGAAGGTGAATACACTGCAGACTACCAAAATTGGGCCGGCCACAGAACAGCCATTGCTTTGCCTTTGATGCGAATGACAAAAACTGTTGTAACATCCAAGCAGCTGCATGGATTGGAGCTCATTCAACTTCCTGAAGAATTCTTTTCTTGCGGAAGGCCTCTTTGGGCCTGCTTCCGGGTGCACTGTGAGCTCTCCTCCTGTCTTCTTTCCTTCTTGCAGCGTCAGCCATAATACGTCTGAGAGAGGCTGCCTTATATATTGGTTTTGGCAAGTGCCTGTGCCTGTGATACCGTAACCAAGAAGAGCTGATTAATCATCTCCTGCCTTTTTGGAGTCTCATCATTTTCTCGGGAAAATAAGATTTAAACAAAGAAATGACTGGGTAAGAAACTAGGACATTTTGATTACTGTATATTCGGTGAACGCTCTTTAGGAATGTTAGGCAAAATAAAAAAGGACCTCACCAGCATTAGTGTCCTCATTTTCAGAGATTGGGGGATTTCAGTTACAAGGATAGGACAAGAATACAAGAGTTATTTCAGAACCTTTTTGCGTTTAAAAGCCGGTTTTAGATTGTGCCCATAAGCTTTTAATGAAAGAAACCAGCAAAAGCACAATCAAGGGTAAATATCCTATTTCTAGTGTGTCTCTGACATACCTGACAATACGTTTAACTTCAGGAAGGTGCTTGTAACGATTCTTGACAGCCTCCAGATACTCGTGTTTCTTACGCTCTCTCGGTAAAAGCTGCATAACATGAAAGGATCTTCTCAGCATGAAGTCATAATTTTATAAAGATATATAAATTCGTTTGCACATAATGGATAGCACTGACAAACCAACAAAACCATCGAACTAGCATAGTGTAGATTTTAAGCTGAGAATGCATTTGTACAACCACCCTTTACATGATACCACAAGAAGAAGATAACAAAGCATACTTTTCCTTCTATTCATTCATTCCATGCTTTCCCCAGTTCCCCTTTGCTTCTCCAAGTACAATAAAAGGCCAACACTAAAATGACACTCGACCCAAATTATAATGAAGGTCGCCAAAATATCTGCCATCAGCAAAGGAAGTAGAGATCACAAGCTAACTTGACCACTACCTTCTGTTGAGAGAGATATTTTCTTAAACGTTCATTAGTTATCCAGTTACACTAGTTTTCATTTAAAACTCAAAAAACTTCTCCGGCAATAAAGAAACAGGACTAAGCAAGCAAAGAGTATGAGACAACAGAGTGAAAGGTAGCTATGATCTTTCTGTCTGGAAATACTAGGGAAAAAGTCAAGGCCCTCAACACCACTAAGGACTAAATGAAAAGCTACTTTTCCAGCGCAAAAGCATCTTTCAACAAATGAAATTATCAGCACAAAGTAAAAGATATTCATAGGAGGAGGAGGTTCATACAACTCCCAATTGCTCGGATGCCTTAGCTTTCCAAAGTCGAAGATTGGTGTCATCACTGCCTGAAATAACATAGCTTGCATCACAACTGAACTTGACGCAAAATACCCTACATCATTGAGAGATTCAAGTTAGTAATGATTGAATCATCATCGAATACAACTCAAACAATAAATAACTCCAACAGGAAAACAGATAGAGGTAAAAAGCACATTGATATGGACTCTCAGGTTAGATTAATCAAAAAAGCGAAAGAGAAATAAAGGCCCAAATGGGGAAGACAAAAACCTTTGCATTCTTTTAGTATGATAGATTTCCCTGCTGTGGCCACCATTATACTGGAATATTCTCACCTATAAAGTGAAACACAACTAAAACATCATACCTTGATCCACACTGGAATTATCACATGTTCAAAATGATTAAAGTGCGGAGTTTAATTCAATCAATGACGGACAACTCACTGTTCTATCATAAGATCCTGTTACAAATTCCCGACCAGTTGGTGAGTAATCAATATCCATACTGCAAAGAAGTCAAGAGGCACTCAGATAAAAGCCTCAGGCTAGATAATGTCATGTACCATTGTTTCTAGAATGACAAACTGCATTCTTACACTGCAGAAACGTGATCTTGATGCACACACTTGGCCTCATCCAATTTTCTAGCATCATAGCTGTAGCAGTTGCAATCTTCATTTGCCTGAATCGGTGTCAGAAGTCAATCACTATATAACAATGCAAAAGACAGAAAACATGTATCTGTGGAAAGACCCGGATATTAAAAAATGGTGCAACACTATAATTAAAAATCAGACTGTTTAACCACTGAACAAGTTTTGAAGCTCATCAAACCAGAAAAGTTTTTAATAACTCCAAAATATGAATTACAATATATGTCTCAGCTTGGGTATTCAAAGAGTCAAGTTTCTAACGTAAGTAGATTCAGACCACAACATCAAAACAAGATTTACTGTCCACACTAGATAATCAATTGAAAATGCTATGTCGAGATACCACTAATGAGACAACTTGCATGTTGTAACAGTAAATTAGAAACCAAATAAGAAAGGAACAGCTTAATTGCTTGTCCTTACAGCTGTGAAATTCATTGGCTCCATGGGATTCCATGATATAGAATTAGTTTTTGTCTGTAACAACAACAAAAAACAAATGAGCCTTTAGAAAGAAGTCACAAGATTCGAACAAGGACAAACAGAAACTTTGAAAATAATCATAATAAAATCTAAAGAAGAAAAACTCTAGTTCAGCACTCCAGAGTGATGTTGGCAAATTAGTGCAAGGGCAAGAGGGTAGTAATTCACCCACAGCATCAACAGTTCAACAACAGTAAATATTGAGGCAGAATTTCTTTTACCAGGATATGATCCACCTAGCCAAACCATAATAGGATATCCAATAAAACCGAAAAGGCATAAAATGTTGGGGAGTCATCTTAATATTTAGAGTTTGAATGGCTGAAGAATGACCAATTAATGGTTCCGAAAGGGAAAAATAATTAGGAAAGACAGCTATAAAATGGTTCTTCTGTACATTATAAATCTCAAAGCACTGAAATTTATTAGAATACTTTACCCTCATTACAACCCTTCTTGCCGGGGATGACATCCGTAGATCGTATATTGTTATGCTTCGGTCACTGCAGATCAAGTAAACAGATTTCTTTTCTTTAAAGAAGGTAGTTCCAAATAAAGAACTAAATGCAGCTAACAATGTGAATCAATTATAACAACCATCAAATGGTTATCAAAATAAGACAAAAAAAATGGTAGTGCTACAAGCTCCCATGGAAGTATAAGCTATTCCATGATAGACTTTAGCACCTGAACAATTTCAAAGTATAATCTTCTATGGTTCTACCAAGAAGGCTGTGAATCTTCACATAATATTCAGTTACCGGGGAAACAAATTAATAATAGACAGGAAAGGTTTTTCTTGCAGCAGCCCATCAAACCAAACCTTTCAGAATTATTTTTCACTTAGAAGATAACACTTCATCTGATTGAACTAAAATTTCAAAACTGGCAGGGTGCTAGTGCAAATTTCAACTATCAAGACAACATGACAAGTTTAACAGCAGTCAGCATGAACGCACTCCAACACGACAAGAAAACTATATCAGAATGGGCAGGATATGAACAAGAATTGGCACCATCGTTGCTGATAAACAGCTTCAATTCTAGAATTGCATCAAAAGAAAAGGACTGACTAACATTACAAAAGAAAAAGAAAAACGACTATCACAATACAAGTTTTACAGCAGTCAGCATGAAAAAATTTCAACACCAAAAAGGATACAACAGTGGAAGGGGCAGGTGCTACTATGAACAAGAATCGGTATCGTATGTGCTAATAAACAACCTTAATTCTACAACTC